CAGGTCCAACCTGACCAGGGTTGAAATAACAGAGAGAAAGTATCTTGCAGTTTTTTCTTCTTCTTCCTAAAACCTTTCTGTTACTGAAAGTCTGAAGTGTAAGTAAGTCCCTTTTACTGTGATGGAGATTACAGAAAGCTAGGAGAACTGTGTCAACTATAAAACTTCATCTTCCCCAGCATTCTACACTCCCTTTCTGCAGGTTTTTACACAGCAATCTTTATGGCTGGCTGTGTTTTTCCCCTTAGAAAACTTCCAAGGTAGCAGAAGCCACAAATTATACTAGACATAATGTAAGACATAGGTTTTCCTGAGAAGCTCTTAGGAAGGGAAGAGAGAGAGGAAAAAAAAAGGTTCTCTATATTGTTTGGGTAAGAGCATTCAGCCCATAAGTGCTCAACCTTGAACAATAATTATTTTGACTGGTACACATAGAAGCAGGAAGGCAGGCACGTTTTTTCGGCATTGAACTCTAGCAGCCTGGTACAATGCCTTATATATGATGAGTATGTTATGTATAGAAGGGGCTCCCAGTATATGGCAGAGATGCTCATTGCCATCAGTCCTCCCCTTTTCTCTCTCCTTCTCTTTTTCTCTTTTTCTTTCTTTCTTTCTTTCTTTCTTTCTTTCTTTCTTTCTTTCTTTCTTTCTTTCTTTCTTTTTTTTGGCTAGGTAATGTGATTAAGTGACTTGCCCAGGGTCACACAGCTAGTGAGTGTTTTGTGTCTGAGGCCGGATTTGAACTCAGGTCCTTGTGAGTCCAGGGCCCATGCTCTATCCACTGCACCACCTAGCTGCCCCTCTTTCTCCTTTTCTTCAGGGGAAATAAACAATGCTGCAGGGACACTGCAGATTGTGCCCATCATACCCACTCTAGGCAGGCCTATGAGTGAGTGATCAATAAGAGTGGATTGAATTCAAGTCAAGTAAAAGATAGAAAACACAAGCTCTCAAAGGACTGGTACCCCTAGAACTGAAAGACAAGATTTGTAGGCTCTCGCATTTCTCTATCACCCCTCCTACCTGTTTTGTGGGCAAAACAACTTTCACTTTGTGGGCAGCTGTTCTGATTTACTCTGATTCCCAGCAGTAAAAAGGAGGTTTTATGCATGTGTAAGGCATTGCTATTAGTAACTTGGGAAATGTAGGCACTTTTTTCTTTAGGACTTTTTTATTTTGGTTAGGCAATGGGGTTAAGTGACTTGCCCAGGGTCACACAGCTAGTAAATGTTGTGTGTCTGAGGCTAGATTTGAATTCAGGTCCTCCTTAATCCAGGGCCAGTGCTCTATCCACTGCACCACCTCGCTGCCCCATCATAGGACTTTTTAAAGATAGGTCCATGAAATAAACTCAGAAGGAAATAGCACAATTCTCTTACTCTACCAACCCAAACCCACCCCCCCCAAAAAAAACCTCCTACCTTCTGTTAAGTGAGTTTTGTCCAGCAAAAATACAGAGGTATTGGACATAGGGATTGGATCCTTGGGGAACTCCGAGAGGAAAAACTCTCTATGCCAGAGGTCAGTGACCAAATGAAGCCAGACCCCTGATTTTGCATGGCTCTGGGAGCTATCTTTATTTTAATATATAAAAACCATTCCTAGCTCAGTGCTGCATTTGACCCATAGGCCATAGTTTACTAACATATGCTATATATCAGTTTGAATTGGAAACTTCTCTCCAAATTACTGTCATAGGGAACATTGAGGGATGAGTTATTTGCTCAAGGTCCACAGCCAGTATGTGTCAGAAGCAGGATTTGAACTCAAGTCTTTCTGGTTTTGAGGTTGGCTTCCTATCCCTTATACCACACTGCCTCTCTGTTAAAAATAAATGAATAAAAATGAAAATCTTTGCAAGAGTTAAATGCATTTCCTGGTCAGACTTTAAACACAAGTATGTCTGCCTGAATTATCCCAGGAATTTCCTTAATTGTTCAAGTTATTCCTTGGTCACACTGTTTTGATTTCCTTGAGAAGCCCCAGAAAAAAAGCAAAGCAAAAAAAACAATGCCATACGGTATTATTGCACTGAGGAGTATAAAAGAGTATATGTTTTGCCATAACATGCCCTCTAGTGGGAATAACTGGTATAGAATATTGTTGTAGTCTAGAAAGTGCACAGCTATCATAGGTGGTTGGATGTAGAGGAGAACCTACAGAGTTCACCCGTCATTATCTAGCTCTTGGGCAGGCACTGAATATGGACAGTAAGCTGATCCTGGAATGGAACAAGCGAAGGAGAGTGAGTTGGATTACCTTTGGAAAGTTACAAAATTCTTTTAATAACACCTATCTTCTCTCTGTAGCAATAGCCTATTTGCCCCTTCCCCCCATCACCATCTGGTGATGCTACACTGTTTTAAGTCATGTAACATTATAGTTGCTAACAATGGAAAGTAAGGATTGCCCAAAGAGCAATGGAGAACTGCATAGTAGGTTCGAAAAGTCTGCAGCACATTCCACACAAGGAATTATAAGCAGGAGAAGTATCAGGTAAAGGATGTCATCAAGGAAATGTATGCTTGACAAAAGATGGTCATGTAAGTAAGAGCAATGAATAACTGATAATCTGTATACTCCATTAATGTCTTTGAAATGTCATGAGAGTTTGAAGAAAATTTCGGCAAAGTGCTTTTAAAATATTATCTCATTTTGTCCTCCCAATAACCCTCAGAGCTAAATACTATTAGCATTCGTATTTTATAGATGAGGAAACTGAGGAAGACATAAGGTAAGTGACTTGCCCAGTGTCATATGGCTACAATTTGAAAACAGATCTTTTTGACTCCAGATTTAACATTCTATGCACCATTCCACCATTCCAAATTGTCTTGTATATATTTTCTATATTCTTATAGCGATCGAATCCCTTGCTCTAACACCATCATAGACATCTGCTCACTTCCCAAATCTGCCTTTGTCTTCTGAAGCCCTTTCCATTGGTCAGCAAGCATAAAAATACCACCTTTCCTCCTAAGGTTTTCTAAGACTTCTTAATTCTTAGTAATGCTTTCTGGATTCCTTCTAGAAGTATCATTTGTTCCCGTATGAGTAACTAGACTTAGGTAGTAGTCACCCAATTTGACAAGACCTGGGGAATCTTTGTCACGTCACAGAAAAATGTTTAGGGACACAGCAGACCTCTTTATTTTTTATTTATTTTTGTTTTGTTTTGTTTTTTTGCTGAGGCAATTGGGGTTAAGTGACTTACCCAGGGTCTCACAGCTAGCGTCAAGTGTCTGAGGTCACATTTGAACTCAGATTCTCCTGACTCTAAGGCTGGAACTCTATCCACTGCACCACCTAGCTGTCCCTCAGACCTCCTTATTGTTACTGAGCTGGTGGCACAGTAGGCAGAGTACTGGGCCTGGAGTCAGGAAGATCTGAGTTCAGACCTGGTCTCAAACTCATTATCTGCATGACCCTGGGCAAGTCATTTAACCTCTATCTGCCTCAGTTTTTTCAGTTGTAAAATGTGGATGATAATAACACCTTGCAGGGTTGTTGTGAACGTAAAATGAGACATTTGTAGAGGTTGCTTAACACAGTTCCTGGCTCACAGTAGGCACTATGTAAATGCCCTTCCCTTTGTTCCAGTGGTTTTCTCCTTAACACTCACTAATTATCACTACTTATCTCTTCTTTCTCGGAAGGTACCTGTGAAATCACACCACCAAAGCCTTTCACAATAAGCCTCTCTTTCCAGGATTATTATACATATGGTGCCTTACAGTGCTTGTCACCAAAAGCTGATCAGTTAATAAGCATTTATTAAACTCCTACTATGTTCCAGGCACTGTGCTACATACATCTGTACGTGTTGTTTTCCCTAATATAATATAATGGCAGATCTTTGAGGACAGGGCTTGTTTCAATGTTGTCTTTGTATCATCTGGTATATAGTCTGTACTTAATAAATACGAATCGGTTGATTGGAGGGCAAGCAACTGCTTCCTCCTCCCTCTTCTTCCAGAAGAGCCTCATACCTATTTTATTTCCTTAGCTCCCTTTTCTCCTCTCCATGACATTCTTCTGCCTGCCAGCCTCCTGACTGGTCAGGATTCCTCTCTAATTCTTGGAATCCTTTCTCTTCTTTATTTTTACATGGAAGTCCTTCTTTGTTAAGGGTTGGATTCTAGTGAGTAAAGGGGGGAGAGGATCTTCAAGCCCCTTTGTCTTTTTGGAAGAACTGTATTTGGACCAAAAAGAAAAATTACATGACCATGGCAGAAAAGACAAGCATCAAGCATTCTCTGCAGAATACTGCAAAATACTACCCACTTTTCATACTTCCTGCAAAGCATGGAAACATGATCATCACCTTGGTTATTCTTTCTTTAAAAAGTTTAAATTTTTAAAAAAATTTTTTCAATTAATTAAAATTTTAATTTATGGACTAAACCAAGCATTTCCATAACATAATACAAAGAAAAAAGATGATTGCACATGAAACCACAAATCCACTATGAACAACTTGCTATTCCTTTTAAATATACAAAGTTATCACGTAAATTTCCTTCTCCCTTCCCCCCCACCTTTTTTTTTTCCTTCTTGTTGTTCTTACTAGTGTTTCTTGTGGCCAATTCCTCTATCCAAGAGCCCTGCATAGGATCAAATTGCTTACCTACAATTGGAAGCCTAAAGCAGTATTTAGCAGCAGAGTGAAATTCTAAGTGACTTTCTCTAGCCTACCTCATCCTTAGTACAGGATGAACAAGAGCCTGTTACAAATTAGGATATCATGTTGCTCCTAGAGCCACATAACCACTGAAGGATAGAGACTGGACTTGTGATTTTACCAATGTAATGAACCCAAATGAGGAGACTTGCCTAGGGTGACACAGCCAGTATGTGTCTGAAGCAGGATTTGAATCCAGCATTCTATCTACTATGTCACACTACCCCCTCTAAATGACTTTGAAGATTGGGTTTAATTCCCTATGGGTTTGAGGAAGGGCCTCCCATCCTATAACAGAGGAGAGTTTAATGACAGCAAATGCAATTTGATTTTCTAAGGGTTTTATTTATAGTAGCCAGCTATGCTGCTCAGTCTAGGAGACTGGACTACTACAGGTCAAATTATCACCAATTTCTCATTTTCAACAGTATAAAATACATTAGCAAATTCTCCCAGTGCAGCCATCTATTCCTATGGATGAGTACCTACAGAACAGCTTCAATCATAAAAGTGGGTTTATGGGTCTTTTTCTTTTTTGTGGGGAACATAATGGTGATGATGGCTCTGATTAGCATCCTTTTTTTTTCTTATCTCTAGTTCCAACATCTCAATCTCCAGGGTTAGTTTATGTATCTCTAGGGCCATTTTCACATCCTGGGCATTTGGGAGACACTGCATAAACTTGTAGATTGCTGAAACTTTCTCACAGCCTTCAGGGAATTCCTAAAAAACAGAAATAAATAGATAGTTTCAGAAAGGCTTCCAGTTAGGGGAAAGGGTGAGATTATTTAAGGTCTATGCCAAGACTTTCCCTGTCCTGAAGATCAGGAAAGACCAGGAATTATTTTGGATCTGAGTAGCATTTCTTTTGAGGATTGAACCAAGACACAGTAATAGATAGTTATAACTGAAGAAGATATTGGCAATACTTCAAGTTGGATCTAAGGACAAGAGCAAGGGGAGAGAGGGAAAACTGGTGCTAGTAGTTGTACCAACCAACCAAAATGGAGGCAGAGGCCACTCCACTTCTTGGAGAGAAGCACATGAGTCTCAGAGTCAGGATGAGCTAGGTCATTCTTTCCGAGATTCTGAGTTTTCCATTTTGTATATTGTAAGAGGAGTGCTGAGATTTGAGCTAGCAGGTACATAGCACAAAAATCATCAGCATGATAAAATTCAGATTTATCCTGCTTCACCTGGCTTTTGTTCGATTTTTAAAGTTTTATTTTTTTTTACTAGCATTTATTTTCTCCCTCCCAGTTCTGTCCTCATGCCCCCTGCAACTGAACAATAAAAAAGAATAAGAAAATCCTTGTAACAAATATGCATAGTCCTGCAAAACATATTTCCACTTTGGCTCCAAATGTATGTCTCATTATACATTTTAATTCTAATCACCTCTTTGACAGGAGGTAGGTCATATGCTTCCTTTTCAGTCCTCTGGAAGTGTGGTTTTCGATTGCACTGATAAGCATTCTAAAGTCTTTCAAGTTATTTTTATTTATAATGTTGTTATTTTAAAATCATTCCCTGACTTTTGTTCACTTCACTCTGCATCAGTCTATAGAGGTCTTCCAGTTTCCTCTGAAACTCTTTGTCATTTTTTATGGCAAAAATAAAATTTCATTACCTTTGTATATACCACAACTTGTTTAATCCATTCCCCAATAGGAGGGCAAGCCCTTAGTTCCAGTTTGGGGTTATTACAAAAGCTGCCACTACTATTTTTGTACATATGGGTCCTTTCCCTCTTTCTTTGATTTTTTTGGAGTATAAGCCTAGTGGTGGTTTTCTAGCTCTTATTCTTGCCCCAACTTTATTTGCATGCTAATAAAAAAGGATTTTCAGAGCAGGTGATTTTTAGCCACTCCTCCTAAATAGCTCCTAAGAGAATGGTGTTCCAGAATCCCTGAAATGGGTTTTGGGGACACAGGTTTACAATTAGGAATTTAGCAAGAATTAAAAAGGAATTTTCTAAATCCCCAAGATTAGTAGTTGTCTGGACTATCAGACCCTGAGCTAACACAAGACAAAAGGAATCAGAAGAATAGATTTAGTTTTAGTGCAGGGTATTCTAAAGGCTTTTGTTACTTCATGGACTGGTTGTGGTAAAGTGTCAGTGTGCCCTGGGAGAGGCTTTCTAGCTACCACACACACACACACATACACACACACTTTATCTACTCCCAACTCCATAAGATGCTTCAAAGATGAAAGAAGTAATTCCTGTGACTTCAAACATCTCAGAAATTAACATCACCAAATATATCACTTTTTAGTTATAATTGATATACCTTCTTTGGTGTGGGCATTATGTTACTACTTCTCCTGAGGGCATTTCACACTTCGTGATCTTGCCTGTTGTCCTATATTTCTCTGAGGAGTCATATGGTCAAGAAGTTAACTACATAGGTATTACTTACCCATTCACACTTGGGTACCGCTGGGATCCAGAGTCTGTTCTCTGAGCAAGTGATGATTTGAGGGCCAACCAAATAATAGCCAGGGGAACACTGGACATCGACACTTTCATTGATGTGATACTGAGTCTTCTCTGAAGACACTTTTCCATTTAATATCTCTGGTTTTGGACAAAGAGCTAAAACAAAAACACTTTCATTGAGTAGTTTACATTTCTTGGATGGAAAGAATAAGGTAAAGTAATGAAAGCGCAAGGAAATATGATACCTAAAGCATCCTTGAAGACTAGGAGCTTTCTTATCTCACTTCACCTTATCAGCTTGACTTCTAAATGACCTTTGGCAGCTCATTTCCTTTTCCCTTCTCATTTTCCTCTCGTTAAATAGGAACTAACCTACCTCTGATCACAGCTAACAAAAACAAATAAAGATATATATACATATAGTTTTATATTTGTGTCTAATATAGGATGTAATACATATTATATTATTAGAATATATCACATCTATTCTATTTTATGAGCAAACTCTGTGCAGCATCTGAATCTCTCTTGCCTCCATACTCTGTGGAATAGTTTTGGCTCAAATGGCAACTCTTAAATTTAACCTACAAACATTTATTGTCTATTACTACCTAATAAAGGATGAAGCCTTAAAAAGTAATATGTATTACACATGATATACATTATATCATATCATAATGGCCCTACATGTGACTTTGAGGCAAATATCTGATACTTCTTAGAAATTTGATGTTAGGGGCAGCTAGGTGGCGCAGCAGAGAGAGCACCAGCCCTGGATTCAGGAGGACCTGAGTTCAAATCCCACCTCAGACACATGACACTTACTAGCTGTGTGACCCTGGGCAGGTCACTTAACCCCATTGCCCATCAAAAAAAAAAAAAGAAGGAAAGAAAAGAAAAGAAATTTGATATTAAACCAAGAGCTCCCTTGTACACCTACTCCTGCCAGTACCTTTTCCAATCCTGTCACATCCCCAAAGGACACTGTGAGAGGCACAGTGCTAAGTGTAATCACATGGAGGTGAAGAAATTGTTACAAGATCCTTCTTGGTTTTTCCTTCCCATTAAGCAAGGCTGGAATTACCTTGACAGTAAGGGAAAGCATGTGACCATTTTGAACGCTGGCAGGTATTTATTGCATTCCCAATGAGGACATATCCATCATTGCATGAATACTCCACACTAACGCTAAGAAATCTAGCAGTTATTGTATAGTTCCCATTTGCGATGGTCTTAGGTGAACTGCAACCTAGAATGACAAGAAAGAGAGAAGAGAAAGACAGAGAATGATGATCGGTTAAGTTTTCTACTTATCACTGACAAGAATAAGAGCTGGGGGATCTAGAAAAGGTCTTTATCCTTTCCATTCAGCAGGTCTCCTCCTACATCATCCCCAGATTACGGCTGCAGAAGGATTAGAATGATTAGGGAAGTCTTTCTGGATTCCCTGAGATGTTAGTATTCTCTTCTTCCTTGGTTTACATGCATCCTCCCAGTGGAATCTAAACTCTTTGAAGGCAAGCCTGTTTATTATTACTGCTGCAATACCACAGTGCCCTGCACATTGATGGAGAGGTGGGAGGGGAGTAGGAAGCCTATCTGACCTTGTATGGAAATTCAGTTGTGGAAACTCCCTCTACCCATCAGCAACTCATCTGTAACTTAGGGTCTTAGTTGCATGACATACTGGAAGATTAAGTAACTTACCTGTGGTCATACTACTAGTATGCACTATGGGTAGGAGTTTAACCCAGGCCCTCCTGGCTCTATCCACAATGCCATTGGTTCCCATTTAGTGGTCTATAAACCCCTTGGGAATTTGTGACACTGTTCCAAAGGATTTGAACTAAAAATTCTTCAATGGTGCTTTAATTATGTTAATATATTAAATTAGTACTAATAATAAATATAATAAATTAAAATTAAATTAAGTACATCAGTATATTAAATTAACCTGTGAGTTCATAACACATTTTTGTTATTGTTGCAAGGCATTTACGAAATTACAAACACCAAAAATCCCTGCACCAAACCGTAGTGCCTGTTACCTTGTACATAATAGGTCCATCTTAAATATTTGCTAGTTGAGAGAGCTTGATGTGACAAAAACACACTCTTCCTTCTTCCCTCACCCCAGTGCCTTTTGTAACACTTTTTTTAAACTTCAAAGGTCACTGAAACCTTTCTGCTTTCCAGCAAGGCACAGGACTATTAGGATGCCTAACTTAAGAGGCCTGAAATCTTAACGTTGCCATTTAGAAGAAGAGTTAGATCTGTTCTGCTTGGCCCCTAAACGTAGAACCAGAACAAAGGATAGGAGTCACTGATGGGCAAATTTAGGTTTGGTGTCAGAAAATCTTCCTAACAATTCAAGTTGTCCAAGGGCGGAGTTAGATGTCTGAAAAGGTGGTGAGATGCCTCTCCTAGGAGGCCTTCACATGAGGCTGGATATTCACTTGTCCGCTGTGTTGTCATGGGGATTCCTTTTGGGGATGGATGGACTGGATGCTGCTCTGCTCCTTTCCAGCTCTCAAAGCATCATCCTTTTATGCTGAGTGATAAATGACAGGACCACATTTCTAGAGCTGGAAGGGACCTTAGAGGCTCTTTTGTCTGCCTATTCCCTTTCCTCCATTTTACAGATGAGGAAATTGAAGCCCAGAGAAGGCCAGTGAATTTCCCACAGTCACACAAATAGTATCAGGCACAGGAATGTGATACTACACAGCTTTTATCCTTGGTAGACATTAATATTGAACCTGAGGACACCTAAGATTTAAATTTAAAATTACTTTGAGTAAATTCTAACACTCTAAGCATTCATTCCTATCCTGCAAGAATGCATTTTTGTTTTAATTCTTTGGACTGGAGCTCTTAGGGAAAAATATTCATGCAAACTGATGGTTTACATGCCTAATTAAAGAACTTATAGGTGTATGGCTGGCATGTGGGTAGGGTGGTGGTATGGGGTGAAACCATTACATAGCCTTAAATAAGGGATTTTAGTAACATTAGGACTTTGATAATTGATAATTGTAGCATCTTTAATAGCAGGTGAAATGCTAAAGATTTCTTCCTTGGTTCTGTGGTGCTAAATAAAAAATGCACTGGAAATCAAAGAGGTTTAAAGCCCTCAGCCATCCATGAGCATTTCCATTAGCCTGTCTCTGATTCAGTCAAATTAGCAGCAGAAGAGCAGGCCTGAAGATCAGATGATCTGGGTTTGAATTCTGTCTCTACCACTTCCTAGATATATGACCCTCCACTTCAAGCTTAACTTGTATTCTATTTATATACATCTCATATCTACCTACACACATGTGGCTATTGCCTCCCTTAATAGAATGGTAGCTCCTTAAGAGCAGGAACTGTTGAGCTTTTCTATTTTTATTCCTGATGCCTAGCACAGTACCAATTAAGAAGCAGATGCAATCATCTATACGAGAGGCAATGAAAGCCTGAAGTGAGCTGTATAAATATAAATTAGTTGAATGGAGAAAAGTGATAGAGGTAAAAAAAAATGTGAAGGTTGAAATAACAAGATTTGGCAACTGATTGGATATGCTGATGGAGGAGAGTGAGGCATACAGAATGATATCAAACTAGATGGCCCACTCAATAGAGTACTGGGCCTGGAGTCAGGAAGACCTGAGTCCAAATCTAGCCTCAGACACTTAGTGTCTGTGTGACTGGGGCAAGCCACTTAACTTCTATCTGTCTTAGTCTTCTCAACAGTAAAAGAAGGAAAATAGCATTTACCTTCCCCTTAGGATTGTTATGAGAATCAAATGAGATATTTGTAAAGCACTTAACACAGTGCTAGGTGCTTACTAATAGGTGTTTACTAATTCATTATTTCCTTCCTTTCTGTTACCAACCTGGGGTACTAGAAAAATGAGTATATTTTCAGTAGACATCAGTGAAGAGGTCTAGGACTTTGGGGTGCTGCTGGAACCCCAAGATCATGGTACCGGGCCCTACCTGAAAGAATTCAACTCAAATCTTCTTCAGCCACAGGAAAAGTTTATTAGTGATAAAACACTTACGCCAGGTGACGCCCGTAAAGACAGGCAGGCATGAGAGGTTCCCAGCCTTGTGGGCCTGAGATTCTCAGCCCCGAATGAGGGCCAGGGTAGATCTTATATACTTTGGGTGACCAGGGAAGGGTCTGGGAAAATGGTCTGGGAAAAGGGTCTGGGTGAGAATTCCCAGAGATTGGAATGTCTAAGAGATTGAATAGACAATGGGAATAGATAATGAAGGAACTGAAAGGTATCTGAATGAGATTAAAGGTAGGCTAAGGCTTTCAAAGGAGATGAGGGGCTGGGCCTGTAGACAAAAGGGGAGCCAGATTCCCTTTGGGGCAAGGGGTGAAGACCTCAGGCTTGGGCCACACCCCACATTGGGACATTAGAAAGAAGGGTGAGTTTGGTGGAAAGAAAATGAGCTCTGTTTTGGATATGTAAGGTTTGAAATTTCTCCAGGATTTGAAGTGAACCATAGGTATAGCCAATGTGGGAATTAGTTTTGCATAACTATACACATTTATTATAAGCTTTCCCCCTCTTTTTTTTCCAGTGTGTGTATGGAGGGAGTGGATAGGGGGAGGGCAGTGCAGAGGGAAGAAATGCTTATTGATTAGAAAAATATAAAATTTACTATAATTTACTGAACATTTACTATAATATTCAATAGTCAATTGGTGATGAGGGACTGAAGCTCAGGGGAATGACTATAGCTGTATATATGAATGGGAATCAACAGCATAGGGATGGTAATTAATCCATAGGATCTAATATTACCAAAAGAAAAGGTGTCGAGAAAGACTAGAAGGTCTAGGTCAGAGCCTTGGAGAACAGCCAGTTAGAGGATATGATTTGGATGAAGAACCAGCAAAGAAGACTAAGAAAGAGTGGTCAGGCAGTTGGGGGCCAAAGGGAGAAGGTCAATCAGGAAAGCCTAGAGAAGAGAAGGTATTGAGGAGGAGAGGGCGGCCAGCTGTCTTAAATGCAGCAGATAGGTCAATAAGGATGAGAACTGAAGAGACAATCAGATTTGTTTATTAAGCAATCAAAGGTAACTTTGGAGAGAGCAGTTTCAGTTGATTGACCGTAGGCAGAAACTATATTGCAAAAGAGTTGTGAAGTGAAAGGAAAGGAAGTGAAGGCAGCAAGTGTAAACAATCACCCCTAGTGGGCTGAGAAGTGGAGGAAAGTTATGGAATGATAGGTTGAGGGTGTGACTGGGTATAGTGAAGGGTTTTTTTTTTTTCTTTTTTAAGGGATGAAGGAGACTCGTGCATTTTGAAGGCATTAGGAAAGGAGCCAATAGATTAGGAAATTTGAAGATTAGAGAGTGGGTTAGGCAGGAATGTTGAGGTTGTGTTCTTCTGGAGAAGATAAGAGAGAATGGAATCAAGGAAACATGTATCAGGGTTGCCCGGGCCAGAAGAAAGGCCACCTTATTATCAAAGACTGGGGTGGAGGAGGATAGAATTGAGGATTATGTAAAGAAGCTTTGAATTGAAAAGGGAAGAAGAGAGGTCACACTGAATATTCAGAATAATAAAGAGGCAAGGTCCTCAACTGAGAAAAAGTAGGAGAAGTAGAAGCTTGAGACAGGTTTCTGTAAGGAGGGAGACAGGGAATTAAAAGATTCAAAAGAATCAAAAGCGTGAGCCCAGCTGAAATTGGATGCCATGAGTTTATAATTGGTCCAGTCAACACAGGAGTGTGACTTTCTCTAGCTAGCACCTGAGGTGTGGCCCAGTCAGACAATGGGAATGACTCAGGGCTGAATTCTGGCAAGGAATGAATGGCAATAGGACAAATGGTCAAGTGATTCAAGAGTAGAGAAGCACACAGAGGTTGAATTGGCCAACCACAGAGTGAAGGTTGGAGAGGTAGGAAAGCGAAGTCAGAACAAGAGTAATGCCTGAGAAAACACTGAGAGGTAGAGGGATTGAAGGTCTCAGGGATGGCAAAAAAAAAAATGGGTTTAGGAGGCAGAGAGAGAGAGATGGAATTAGAGAAGGTTATGCTAAGATAGAGGATAACAAGTAATCTGAAGACCTTCAGTGATGGAGAATTACCTCCCCAAACAGCTTATCCCAGTTTTGGACATTTAATTGTTAGGATTTTTTTCTTTATATCCAGCCAAAATCTTCCTTTCAGAAAATTTCACTCATTACTCTTGTTTCTACAAAGAGGAATAAGCCTAGCTCTTCCATGTAACAAACATTTCTTCAAATACTTGAAAGCAGCCCCTGAAATCTTTTCTTCTCCAGTATAAAGACCCACTCCCAACCTTTGATCAATTACCAAATAGTATGCTTTCCAGTTCCCTCACATCCTTCTTGACTTCCTCTGGATGTACTTTAGTTTAACAATGGCTTTCCTAATATATGGTGCCCAGAACTTAATGTGATACTACAAATACTCCATGTCAAGCAAACTTTTCCTTGTCAAGAAGCTTTTCCTCTTTTCCTACATAGAAAAACTGTTCCAAGGTCACCCTGACTATGAAGAAATTAATAAAATCTAAAAAAATGTGACTGAGCTAGCACTGCCTTGTGACTTAGAAATCAATTGTGCTTACCAGGTTCTTCTTCATTTTCACACATGGATATTACAGGTTTCCAAGTGCCATCTTGTTGGCATGTACTTTTTCTTCGGGAACTTTTACACTGAAGGGTAAAAGTAGTCCATGGTGTGTATTTGCAGTCATTGATGAAGTGTAGGGTTTCTCCATCAGTCACTGGTGTTGGGCAACAAATCTCTGAGAAAGAAAAAAGATTTGTTGAAATTAAGTAGGCAACTAGATTTAAATTAGAAAGTAATGAAATTGTTGTAAGGATATTTCAAGGGCTGAGGATCTGGTTTCCATTTTCAAAAAAAATGCCACCTACAATTCAAAGAGATTGAAGGCAGTGGAATGAAGTGCTATGACATTTGGATTCTTTTCAAAGTCTGCCTTTGATTTGTTGTTCTAATGTAAGTTGTCCATCTGTTTTCATTTTCCTGTTGGAAGTCTCAGTAACAAAGTGTCTGAGTTAAAATCATTTTATTCATTAGCCAAATTAGATAGCTTTGATTTCACCTGCCTCTTTGTAGGTGTTGTAAAGACTAAATCATTACAAAGTCGTATTTATCCTATTTATTTGTGTAACCTGAGTTACAAATTGGTGGGGAGGAATGATGACTTGCTGCGTACCTATCTGAAGTTGGTGTGAAAACTTCTGAGACTTTCTTCATCCTAGCTTTGAGAGCACATGTGTGGCTGGTTCCAGAGTCTCTTGGAGACTGACTCGAGACATATGTGGAGAAGCAGACTTTGGGAGGCATATATTTAGGCAAAGACAGCACTTCTACACGTCCCTGATTTCGCCCTTACCTTCCTAAAGACTTAAAGGAATTTCCCCTTAGGTGAGATCAGGATCATCACCCCCCCCCCACACACACACACTGCTCAGCTGAGTGAGAGCTGAGTTCACTTCCATCTAAGGTGTTTATTCACTCATGTATTTTCTTAAATATTTTAACCTGTAGAATTTTTCTGATTTCTGTTTGCAATCTGCTTCTATAAATGCATTTATTTGCTTTTCACATTTTATGATGATCTTTTCTGTAACTGCCACTTCAGGAGTAGGGATCAAACTGGTGTGGGTAAGCATGGGGTCCTCCTCCTCTCTAAGACATAGTAGCCAGGAAAGCAAATTTTTCAACCTAAAAAAAACCATGCTTCTAGGCAGTAGTATTGAGGTGGGGGGGGGCAGAAATGATATAACTCTTCTCTCTCACAGAACCAGCTGTAAGTCCCATGGCCCATTGTGTTGAAATTGCATACTGCTCTGGTCCCTCAGACTAAACCCCCCAAGTTAGTATAGCAATTAAGGTTATAAGTAGCTAGCATAAGGTCACAATAATGGAAAGTAAGATTGCAAAGGGACACATAGATGCCATTTACAAACAACTATCTCATATATTAGGGGAGCATAGGAGCCATTAGCAAATACCTCCTAAATAAATTAGCTGAGGCCACATCCTGACTCTGTGTGTTAAATGAGGGGAAGCCAGCTTGGCCTGCATGTAAGGGCTCCTCAGTCCACCACTGCTAACTGACCTTGGTCTGTAGGCCTCAGATGCTTCTCTAATTTATGACACCAAAACACCAGCAAAGCACTATGCTAATGAACCCACCTGTTGCTGAAAACTTTGAGATGATGTTGATATGTTAATGAACTAAGACAAAGGTGGCATGGCAAAGAGTTAGTCTGGTCTCTTACCACCCAAATCCTAAAAAAGAGGACCCAAACTCCTGCCCCAAGTACTCCTCTGCCTGCTGTGGGTCCATGTGTCCAAGTGCTCCCCACATTAATACAAGGCTGCATAAGTGACTTTCCTCTCCCCATTCTCCTCCCCACACTTCCTGCCTCCACCCACTATCCATCCCCATCCTCACACCACCTGCCTCTCTACCCTCCTGAGTGGTTTGCTCCAGGGCTCACTGTGCCATTTGCCTCTGGGCTGTCTGTGCCCAGAGTGAGATTGAAGCATTGCTTTCCTATTTACTGCCATTGTGGTCTTTCTCTGAGAGTAGCCAAAGAACTTGGTATGCCTGCTCTGACCCTTTGTGGTTCCCCATCTTATTTCATAAACTGGGAACACCAGGATTGAGTCTATATTTTGCTCACAGCCACCCCTACTGTGAACCAGCATGGCAGAATGAATTTATTGATAGAAAGCAAGGGTGAACAAATGATCCTCATGTGCCCTTCCAGGAGGGATTTTTCCATATTTGGGTTGGAATGATTCAGTAATTTATCCATTCTCCTGCCTCTAGCAAGGTAGAAATTATAGTCTCCTTTGTAGAGGGGTGGGCAAGATTCTAGCCACATATACAAGCCTCTCCTCAAGCTTCCTGTTTATACATACCACATATAGATATACAACTTACATGGACAGTACTCAATGTACATTAGTATCCCATTCCCAGACTTTTCTCACCCAGGCATTTCCCTATAAATATGTTCATCAAGTCAAGAAAAATCTCCTCTTTAGGCTCTTATGTGACACTGATGCCTTTTTTGCAGGAAGAGAATCAATCTATTTATTCAGGGCTTGGATTTTTCCCTTTTGATGGAAAATTGAAGGAAACTCACCTTCAAAATTCTGCCATTTTAACATAAGAGCTTATAAAAATATAGCTGTATAATTACTATAAAAATGCTTTGTAGAAATTTTATCTGTATCAAGTGAAAAAAGAAAAAGTAGATTATAAAGTTTACAAAGCACATTGCTATTTAAAAGATAAAATTGGCTAGATTGCTCTAGTCTATATATCTGCTGATATATAAAATTAATAAGTTAATGATAAAATTTTCTTATGGATTCATTAAAATGCATCATCAGGGATTATCAACCTACAATGGATTATGTCAATATCAATAGGATTCCATGAATTAATCCCTACAGAGGCTTAGATAGTGTCTGAAATATTAACCATATTAATTTGAACCTTCCTAATTTAGAATTTGTTAACAGTTGGCTAGATGAAAACTCTTGACACTTACTAGCTGTGTGACACCGGGCAAGTCACTTAACCCCAATTGCCTTAAAAAAGAAAAAGAAATGAGTAGGGAAACTACATTAGGCTTAAAGGACAAGTCTGGGTCATATGACCAACAAGATGGAGGACTAGACACTTTTTCCAATCCTTGCAATCTCTAAAACCTCTCTAAATTCTATGGAATAAAGAAATTTTAGCTGTCTCATGTTCTAAGACACCTAGAACCCTAATGAGGTAAAAACCCAATGAACTGAAAAAGCAGAGAAGGCTCAGCACACTCTCTCTTATTGGTTGCTGTGATCTGGCAGGACTACACAAAATGACCCATGGGCTTACAATGGGATTCAGTTCTCTCCTCTGCTACCTGCTGGGGCCCTAGAAAACCAAAAGGCAGAAGCTTGCCCTGACTGGGACTTCAGTGTGGCAGTGCTCTGCTCTGTAACAGTATTCAGTTAGAGAACTGAGGAACAGAGGTAACTGGGGCAGGGCTCCAGCATGTATAGTATGTACTATAATTAATATACTAAGCCTAAGGGAAAGTAGCCTAGAATCAAGCTGGGGCCAGTTCTGTTCCTGCAAAAGGCATTTGACTTCCTTGATTTTTATCAAGTTCCAGCTAAAACCCTACCTTCTACATGAAGCCTTTTTGAATCTCTCTTAATTCTAGTTCCTAATAAATAGTCATTCTGCTGTTAATTATAATGGGTCAGCCTGTATGTGGCTTGTTTGCACAGAGTTGTTTACATATTGTCTCCTCCATATGACTGTAAGCTCCTTGAGGGTGGGAGACTATCTTTTGCCTTTATTTGCATCCCAGGACATAGCGCAATGATGGGCACTTAATAAATGTTTATTGACTGACTGACTGACTGACTTGGGGTAGAGACTGAAGCCATTGAAATGTGAATTGTCTAGTTTGGGAGGAGGCTGAGACAACTTTGAGGTCCAGACCCCAAGAAAATTACAAGCAAAGGGGGAAAAGCCAGAAAGTACTAATAGGAGAATAAAAGTGGAAAAAGATTGAAATTGCCAAAGATGTCAGGTAGATGAAAACTCAATTAAAGACATTGAGCATTAGCAGATAAGCCAATAGAGAAGATGTTAATAACCAAAGGGAATATGGCCTCTTGATTAGTTCAAAGATTCCAAACATCTTTGAATAAATATTGCAAGACAAAGGAAATTAATCAACCCCTAATGAGACTGAGGACCCTGCAGAGCCCCAAAAGAGCATGGAAACACAGCAAGATATTCCTGAGTTGTGTAAAAGATGAAATAAGAATTGTAAAAGCAGAATTTATGGCCTGCATAAGCAGAAATAGTCAGCAGAAAAAAATTACTTGAAACCATAGTGTTAAACCTCACCAAGGAACAAAAATTAGAGCAATTGATTGAGAATACAAATACATTGGAGTGAAAGATAATCTGGAAGAAAAGAAGCAAAAAGCAATGACATTGAAAGAAAACATGTTCTCCATGCAAGTAAAACATATTGATGTCAAAGACAGGGTGCATAAAGACAATGTAAATGTTATAGGTCTCCCAGAAGAATATGAGAAGTTAAAACACGTGAAAACTGTAATGCTAGAAAGAATACAAGAAAACTGCCTGAAACTTCTAAAAATAGAAACCAAAGTGCTGATTAAAGGAATCTACCATTTGCCTCCAGGGAAAAAAAAAATTCCCAGGTAGTAAACTTTAAGACACACAGTAGTTGAATTGAACAATTGCAATGACAAACAACAAATTCTGCAAGCTACCAAGAGAGAGAGACCTTTAAATATAAAGGAAATTCAAATAACATAAGACTGACTATTCTGTACCTGTCACAAACTTAAGAGAGAATGGAATAATGCATTCCAAAGAGCAAAGGTGCTGAAGATGAAACCGAAGATAACATGCCCTGCAAACCTGAGCCTAACCATTAGTGAAAAAAAGATGGATATTTAATAAAAAGAGATGTTTAAAGTATTCCTACAATGAAAGAAGGAAGGAAACAAGCATTTATTAAGTGCCTACTATTTGCCAGGCACTTTGCAAATTGTATCTGATTTCATCCTTATAACAACCTTAAGAAGTAGGTATTATTATCTTCATTTTATAGTTTAGGAAACTGAGGCAAACAGGTTAAGTGACTTGTCTAGGATTACAAAGCTAATAAGTGTCCAAGGCTAGATTTGAATTCAAGTCTTCCTGACTCCAGTGTTCTA